TTTCAATGCATTGCGAACTGTTCGTGGCTAGCTATAATATGAGTACCCCACCTGTTTTGGGTATTTTCACTTTTCCACACTCGATTTACGAGTAATTTTTTGCTTCGAATCGATTTTTAATCGATTGTCGGGACTTTTCGAGGCATCCGTTGATTGAATTGCCCAATTGAAATTAGACCAAATCCGGATCAGGCCAGCATGCAAAGCCAAAAAGGCATTAGTTCTTTGTTGTTGTTAACCTAGATTTAATGTCGACTTCTATTAAAAGCTATGACTTTTTTCCCCATCGTTTCCATGCAATTGCTTTGTGTATTGTATGGCTTTGCCCTCATCATTGCAAGAGCTGTGCTGAAATGCAAAGTATGAAACATTCCCTTGGGTTTCATGGAAAAGCTATCTCATTTTGCTACACTTTTTGCAGCAGCAATTTCTCAGCGGCTTCAGTTGCTCTGTATTAGCGAAAGCAATCGACTTTCTTTGCGAGGCAGTTACGATATGTTCGTTCAATGCGGTTTTCCACACCATTTCATCGCTCAACAGCTATTTTACTCATATCCTAATATTTTTTGCTCCGCACTCTGTCCCTCACACCAAAAAATAATGGAAACGACAACAATGTCTAGCAAAAATTGCAGCACACAACTAAACATTAACGAGAAACGACCGAACTAACAGGCAGCCGAATTTCAAATTACATACGATAATTCAAATTTATGATCTAGATACACGTGCTTGTATGGCATTTTTTTCACATTCTCCCCTTCCACTTTCACTAAACCTCCTATTTCTTCCATTCTTCTTTCTATCTGCTCGGTTTTTCTCCGCGCTATCGCACTGCCATTATTGCTTCCTCTATCAGCTTGGTTTCTGCGCTGGCTTCAATTGGCGAATTAACGTATGCTTCCTCCGTTTTGGAATGTGCAACAGTGTTTTGGGCTTGAAGTTTACCGAGCATCTGCAATGAATTCCATCGAATTTTGGCAAAAATTGTTTCGTCAAAAAGCAAGAACTTCCAACAAAATACATTAAATGCCAACCAAACAATCCTTATTCCTGATTTTGTTATAGTTTATTGTTGTTCCACCAACTCGAGAATGTTTCTCTTCAGAAAAGAAAACGGAGAAAAATGTTTTGTATTCGTTGAATTATTCAAAAAATGGTTCTAGTTGAGCTGGCGAGGCAGAAATGGGGAATATTCCATCGATTTTGCTTTGAAGTTCGGCGAAGATATCAGCCTGAGAATGAATCTGGCACCAGTTTATCTTCGTGCCTAAAATTATTTGTCGAATAATTAAAAACAATAACAAAAACCAGAGGAAATAGTTTGAATATAATAGAACCCGAACGACACAAATTCGCCGATATTCTCCAAATGACTAAAAAAAAACATGACATAAAAAAACTTTGGCGAAAACAACAATGGAAAATATTCGTTATGAAACGAAGAATGATTTGAAAATAACGCAAAATTGCTCAAACAATTTACAAAGTTATGCCTTTCAATTTCCATGAGAAGAGGGTGCAATACTTTGTTATCTATAAATTTCATTAGGTTAATCGTTGTGTGCAAAAAATGGTGAATTTTTGGAGAATCTAAAAAAATGTTTATAGATGACTCGCTTCGCTCGGCTTGGGCGCTAGTTCGGTTTCTCTTCCGTTCAGTTAGTTTTTTTTCAATCAAGAAAGATGAATAAGAAAACTAAGCAATTCAGTGAGATGACGATACAATTTGACGTAAAAAGCAAAATTCAGTTATGAATGTTAGTCTGTATCATTTCTTATGTTCCATACTTGTTTTTTCAAAGCAAAGACGATTTTCTGGGAAAGTTGCTCCTTTTTCTGGAGTTGATTTTATACGCATTTTTTTCATATGTGAATTGGTGTTGAGTCGTGTTAACATGACCATGATGGACTGAGATGGTGTCCATGTTCATCCCCGTTCCAAAACCTTTCATATGATACCCATATTGACTTTTCATGGTATTAAGTCGTGTTAACATGACCATGATGGACCGAGATGGTGTCCATGTTCATCTCTGTTCCAAAACCTTTCATATGACACCCATATTGACTATTCACGGTGTTAAGTCGTGTTAACATGACCATGATGGACTGAGATGGTGTCCATGTTCAACTCTGTTCCAAAACCAATATTTCATTGCCATCAATCCACATTAATGTACGTTGTATCGAAAAACAATTAAAAAAATTGTTTCTTCAAACTTTTGAAAATTTAATTCGAAAATCAAAACTGATATGTGAATCTGCTATTTAAGCCGCGAGAATTCTAACGACATATTCACCATTAAAACCAAGAATTAAAAAATCATGAAAATAAAAAAAATAGGACAAACGCACACACGCATACACACACAATGAGTTTTATATATATAGATATAGATGTGGTTGCAATTTTCATTGGTCACACTGATGATGTGGAGCTTACCCAATTTGGAGCGCATCGCACACATCGTTTTCAACATTTTATCATTACATGCAATTTGAAGCACAACATACTCATTTGATGATTTGTTTGGTTAAACAAGTTGAAGCGATTATTCAATTTGGAGATGTAAAACCAAAGGGAAATGAACAGCAAGTGGCAAACATTTCTTGAATACATTTACCATCGAGATCAACGTATTTCGCTGCTTCAGCTAATTTTGTACGAAAAATACGCCACAAAACACTTCCGCTGTGCTTCGCTCTGCCCTTGAAATTGTCATCCCAGAGATTGTAATGTTGTTTTAGTCACTCAAAGCGAGTCCAACGTTTGTGCGTTTTCGTGCAAACACAAATCGATTGACAGTTTATATGATTGGTTTGGAGGAAAAGTGTTATACAGAAAAGTTGAGCGGAAAAATGTCGATGATGAATGAGCGGAAAAGGAATAGTTATATAGTAAACTGTATACTAAACTATAGTGAACTATATAGCTATCTCTTTTCATTTGACATTTTTCCTCTCAACTTTTCTGTATTACATTTTCGCTCCAAACCACTCATATGTGTATATCAGAAGTTCAATGTATGAAAAATGGAATTCGATCATGGAATTTCTATTTTCGAAAAATTGAAACACAATTCAAAATATTGAATCCAAACCGATAAAATTCAAATGCTTCAATTGAACCAAATTTTAAAATAAAAACTGTACATAAACCGTATTGAATCGAATTTATTGTATTCTTAACCTTCAAACCGTGAAACCTATTTTCTAACGTTGTTCGTGAAACCGGTGCCTGAGTGCCCATAATGAATTTTTAAAGGAAATGTCAGATTTTTCTTGAATTTTTATTTTTAAATGTGAATATTTTAGTATTCATTGATCGGAAAAGTATGAAAATCACTTTGAAATGTGATAAAAGTCATAAAGAATCGAAATATGAAAGACAACACCAAGTTTTTTGGAATTGTTTTAATAAAGTGGAGATTGCAATGTTGATCTCTTCACAAAAATGAAGGCGAAAACATATACATACAAATTCCACTATGGCCGATTTTGACTCAAAAATTGAAATTTTGAACGGCAGGTTGGATCAAAAAGTTATGTATATCACTAGAAAGGTCTTGAAAAGTAGATTCCATTTTTGATATAAAACTTCAAAATAGGCCGGCATTTGGCCAATATTTGTTCGTTGGAATTTTTTGGCCAAAATTGATAAAATGGCCATATTTTGATAAAATGATGATCGATTTTGATGTTTTATAGCTCAAATTGCATGTACTTTTCAAGATCTTTCCAGTGATGCATATTTCATATTTCCCACATTAAATTTTACACGCAATTTGTCGAAAAATGTATATGGGCAGTCAGGCACCCATTTTACGTATAGCGCACCACACATGTTTACGCACATATGTGGTAAGCTAGTGCGCGTATGTGGGTATGTTAACGTAATTTTTGTAGCCATACGATTCGAACCATAGCTATTTTATTAATTTATGATAAGAAATAATTAAGATATAAGCATTCAAAGTTAGTTTTGGGCACACAGTGAAGCTTAATCTAATACAAGAAAAAAATTACAATGGATTTGAGTGGGGAGTAACACAGCGGTTACTCGTCGCATTGACCTTTTGCAAAACTTTTAAAATTCATTTTAAATGTTAAACAAAAGTTTTATAAAATTTTGGTCTCATATCGCAGAGGTTTAGACCTCAATTTACATTGTTTTCATATGAATTGTCAAATTGGAACACAAAGCTGGCGTCGTGTGTCAGGTGAATGACGAAACAATGAAAAAACATCTATTTTCTTCAAACTAATGGCGCCATTGTCTTGACGTCTCCGGCTTGCGATATGATTTTTCATTGGAATATTCCCATTAACCGGTCGGCAATTGTCAATAGTTTTTGGTTGAGTTTTTTCGTTATATAGATTTACATTCAGAGCGTATGTTCGATGCCAAATATCGCATCAAATAGTCCATACGAAATCAATACATTCGATTTTTTTTAAATATAGTTTATAAAAGTAGAAAAAATTCTTCTAAAAAGTATAATGACTCAAAAAAATCTCGGTATTGCATTCATTCAAATAATTAAAATTACTTTCGTAATCCCGTACTTTTGTTCTTTTTTCATATTTAGGAAAAAAGGCATATTTTTAGTGAAAAATCGGTCATTTTAGTCGAAATTTCGACAATTTCGAATGGAAGGTATAAATGTATAGAAATCGCGTATAATATCTCTCAAAAGTGACGACAAAATATTGTATGTGCTGTTGAACATGACAAAATCTCAACCAATGAACTCCAAGAGATAATCGAAGCCTTCGAAGTTTACGTCGAAATCACTATTTATTGAAATGAAAAATTGAATTTTAATTTAAATTAAATTTAAAAAATGAAAGAACTGAAATTTCAATACAATTTTTTGTACATAATTAATTCAAGTAAAAACTGCTAAAGTAAGATATAAAAATTAAAATTCATTGCTAAAACATTTTCACACACCGTTGCTGCAATTGCATATACGATATACCACTAGCGACACCTTGTGACACCGATAGTAAAATCCTGTGTGTTACAATGTATTTTTCAATACATTACAACTGGTGCCACCAGGATCGCCTGTGGTATATTGCTGTTGCAGCAACCTTGTGCATTTTCTCAAAGTATAAATTTTGATGAACGAGTTAATCATAAGCATGAAGAATATAGCTCACGTGGATTTCATGCATGAAAAAAGTAATTCTGTCAATATTCATAATGTCTGAAATGATTTGTTCTGTTATTAGTTTCAATATAATCAATATTCAAAAAGCGGGAACGAAATTTATCAACAATACGTGTGGCATAGCGATGCCACGACTCAAATATTCCCGGTTCAGACGATTTTTTAACGAAAAATTTGAACAGCTCAATGCCAACATGGCCATCATCGGCAGCATATTCAATTTGTCCATTGTCCAAAGTCAGTGGATCCCAGTTAGAGCATTGCCAGCCTCCATATCCTTTGTCAAGTTCAATATTCAAATAGTTTTCAGACATAGTACCCAATCCACCGGGAACACAACCAGCCTCTGCAGCCATGTAACGGAGATCCAGTGTGTTCGCGACACGAACACCATAGTCGCTCAACAAATACAGTACATCAGTTTGAATATTGACCCCAACTTTAACGATGCCCTTATATTCGAGCAGATTTTTCAAAAGTAATGGGAACGTTTTTTTTTCTGTAATCCAGATCTAAAAAATTTTCATTATTAGCCTGAAATTTACCTTGAGCTCTTCGGGAATTTCCTTAAAATGACGCATGTGTATGAGAACGCAAAAGCCAATTGTATCATTGCAACCGGGTTTCGAGTTCCATCGCTCGTCCATTCACAATCAAAAACCAAGTACTGGATATTCTTGGCAGTGCCTAAGTAATTCAGTTAATGTGATAATGTCAAAATTAAAATAATTCAATCAAATAAACTTACGACCAGAGCGCTCTTATTGCGCTTCGACATTCTGCCATATTCGTGACAACCTTAATACGCTGTTGTTTCAAAACACTTCCTTCATTTTGAATATGAGGACGAAGTTCTGAGCTATTTTCTTTATTATACATAAGATTTGCAACAGTACCAACACCAGCTAAAATCAACTTATCCATCTTTAAGCTTCCGAATGCGAACAACTTCTGAAGAATAATAATGTAAAAATGATGTTTTTCCTTTAGAAATTTGTATATTGGATTTTCAGTAAATCTGACAAAAGAATTTCATCCAATGACGGATAGCACAATACTGACGAACAAGATGTAACTAAAATTTGTAAAAGTCCGGCAGTGCCTCTGGACTCCGGCATGTGCCGGATTTTATTAGATTAGATAAGCAGAACCATTTAGAAGAAACACCAACACATTTTTCAAACTGTAGCGTATAAGTATGCATACAATGTTGCTAAGTACCAAGATAAAATTCATTTCATATCTATAATTTCTTATCTCCGTGTTTCATACTTGCAAGAACATGCTCCAAGTAAAATCAAATTCTGCTATTCTTATGACCCACAACATAAGAGAAAGAAACCCTTTTTTTGAAAAAGTTGACATTGATCAACAAATACAATATTGATGAATAAGTTTAATTTCTCCTCTCATTTAAAAATTGAAAGGTCAAAACAATATTACGAAATGTTGCGAAAAACGCTTTGTATGCGTTGGCATTTTTCTGTGTGAATTGGCTTTTGTGTTTATTTTAAACATTTCCAATTTGATTTAAATATTCATTTATTCGAGGGGGTTTTGGTGCTTTTTTTTTAAACAGATATCGCAGAGGAAAAACATAATATTTGGCAATATATCAATTCTTGTCAACATTAAACATAAATTATTTGAATTTTTTGTTTGATATTCAGTCATTTGCCCATGTTTGGAACATTGATAACGAAAAAAAAAAACAATTCTTCGCAGTCTATGCCCAATCTTCTTCCGTTTCATGTAACGTTGGAATACAGCATGGTACAATGAACGACACGTTTGAGCATTTCATCTCAAAGTATATTTCTTTTTCAGAATATATTTTATTATTCAACCTAATTGTGTCATCTACTTCCTCTACAGAGTAATAGTTCTGGGTTTGCTCATGTCATGCTATTGCCTCATGTCCAAGTACTGTGCATTTCATTTTCTATTCAGTAAATATCGATGAACTGCAAGACATCTCAAGAGCGACTCAGTCAAGGGCAATTCAATTACAGTGAAATTGGAATTTTATATCAAAAAACAATGTCGCACTTCTGTTGATATTTATAACCATTTGAATCGGTAACCACTTTATTGATAAATGTGTAATATTTATGGAATATTGTAATGAAAAACGCAATAAATTGCAGTTGAAATGCAGTTTTTCAATTATGGTTTCAGTATATTCAAATTCATTCCATACCGCGGATTCATCCTTCAGTTTCTCATTCTATGCATATCGATGTTTATTGTTGCGTAAACAACGCAAAACTCTTATTCTTCCAAAGAACTTTTCGGCTTTTCGCTTTTTACTGTGTACTCATGATGCCTATTCTTCCTTGTCTCATTTTGATACTATATTGATGACTAATGTTAGTATAGGGAATAGAAAATTGGTTCGAAAAAGCAAAAACTGTGGAAAAAAAATCGATATGGCTTGTTGATTGCAACAGCATTCTATTTTCAGAAGAATAGATAAGATACCAGCGATCGGTTAGTTGAAATCAATACCTGATAAAAACGATAAAATCATCGAGGAATTTCTAGACAATCAAACATGCAAATGAATATATTGCAATTTTTAAACCGATATATTCTGCTTCAATTCAAGATTTTTTTTTTGAACAAATGACAGAAAAGAAACAAAATGAAAAGAAAAAAAAACGGGCCAAAGGCTCTGTTTTGATATCGAATGCATAATTTTTCCCATCATAAACAGCCATAGACGAATTATAAGTAAAGATGAAACATCATCTTATAGTCCAAATCTATATCCAACCGTTCCTTTGCATCATTTTCAAAGAGAATCTAACATAATTATTGTATGTCGCATGAAAAACCAACTTTTTGCTGGTACTACCAGTGCTGTTGATGGCATTTCCATGTGAGACCATCCATTTTTACGTATTCAATCAAAACATACATAAAGAGAATGCGGTGAATTTGTAGTTGCAAATAAGATAAATCAATCTTATAGAAATCATGAGCACACTTTTAGTAATTAAAGTGTTTGCAAAGTTGGTCGGTCATGTTTCGAATAAGCCACTGAGTGGTGGCATTCAATGGTGTAGCCGTCAGGGTTTCGAAATCAGATTAATGATTCTAGTGTATACACACAACAAAATCAGCATTCAAAGTAGTGGTGTTTAGCATTAGGTGCTCTTTTTTGGGAGGAAGAAGGAAAGCGATGACGATGATGAAGAAGACGACGACGACGACGACGATGGTATCGCAAGCATTTGAGCTAAGCAAAGTGCTCTATTTCATCCTTCATGGAATTCATCATGAATAATTCATTGGTATGATGTGCTTAGCGTTGATCACCTGCATCACATAATATTCCTCTCTGCCTTTGGAAATGATTTTAATTTATCACCATGGTCCAAGACTCTAACGTCTTACATCATTTTTTTTTTGTTTGTTTCATTTCAACCGTTGCGAGGTGGAAAGACTGAGAAAAGGCGATCGAACGAAAGAGGGAGAGAGAAAAGGAGAAATAGGCAGAGGCAGAGTGAATATGAAGAAGAGAAAGCAACAGGGAAAAGGAAAAAAGAGAGAGAAACACCCATTAAAAGGAATGCTGATGCTCGTGTGATTGCTTCATAAGGAAAAATATCATCAAGTTGATTTCAAATTTACTTAGTTGTTGTCATGTTACTTAGTCTTATTCCGTTTGTCTCCAATTTTCTTTCCATATCTCTCTCGTTCTTCACACGTTTTTCCCTATTCTCTCTCGCTCACTCACTCATTTCATGATGTTGTCATCATCGTCATCGCCGTCGACGCCGTTCCTTACACATTTTTCTTGTTTCAATTAGAATTTCCATTTGAATGAATTGTGTCGCTCGCAGCAACGCATCACAGATGTGTATGTGTGTGTGCGCGTATTATTACCGTATCGCCGAGTTTCACAGAGCGAGAAAATTAACCCATTTGTGGGTTGCTTACTTCCATTTCAATGGCATTAATGCTAAGCACATCGGCACAGCAGTGCCAAAGTCTCGATAAAATAGAAGCCATTTCAGTGCAAAATCGGAAAAAAGACAGAGCAACCAACACACGGTGCGTTGATTTTAGGCTTTTGATTTTTGTGTTCCAGGTGAAAATGTAAACAGGCACACACCGGGAATAGACTTTCATTTCTCTTCATAGTTTGATGTGATTCAAATGCGGTTTGCTTTTGTTGGTCGAGATGTGCGGCTTGTCAAAGGTTTTCGTTTTGTAAAGTGGATCAATTTTAATATTTGCTTTAAGCCATCCACCAAATCTCTCCGCCTCCATCTCCCTTTCGATATTTACATCTCAATGCTAGACAAAAACGTTTGGAATATTGGCACGTGGACAACAGAATCTATTTGGTAAAGTTTATCTATCGAAATGTTGCAGCGAATTCAAATATTTCGCAATCAAACGGAATTTTTCCCATTGAAAATTTACCAAAGAAAAACAGCGAATATTTGGCAATTGCTAATGAGTTTGTTGCCGCGTTCAATAACTCTCTTTTCATCATTGGCAATTAGAAATTCGTTTCGCGGCGATATATTGTGGTGGCAGAATTCAAAATATTATACGATTTCAATAGATAAGACGAAATGAAACTTTATCGCTATTTTCTATGAAAAATTCGCGTCTTTTCATGAAACCAGTCGATTTCAAGTGCCAAATGTTTGCTTGTGCGGTGTAGTGGTATTTTACGTCGCATCGAATTTACTGGAATTATGTATCGCATCGAATCGTTCTTCGCTTTCGCTCGGTCTCTTTCGGCCACACGGTTGACTTTCATCTGGCGTCAGCCGTTCATTTCATGGCATTTCGTTTTCGCACACCAATTTAACTGTAATCCGAATTAAGAAAATGCTTCAAAGTGGGTAATTTGGATAGCAACAAATCATAGGGTAAAGGGGTATACCAATCGAAACCAAACATCACATTTCTTTGGTGGGTCTATTTCGCCTATGTCGCTATTTTCTTCCTCAAGCTCGCCTTTTCCGTCTTTTTCAGTTCATTTTCTTTCATTCATTTGCTCGCATCCTCTTGGCTTCATTCTCAGTCTTACGCTCAGCCTTATTTTTCCCATCATGTAATGATTTATAGCAGCAGTTGCTGGTTGACAAACCAATTTGATGCCATGATCACATTGTTCACCGACACAAGTGCCACATTCGCATTAAATCCCTATCGAATGCCACGAACGGCCAATTTCCATTTTAAGCGGCAATATTTCATTATTTATTGGTTTTAGCATATGCTTCATATAAAATTGAGAACATATGCAGTAACAACCCTGGCAAAAAAATGTAATCCACGTCAATCTCATCGTCAAATTTGCCTATTATCTCTAATCCCATCGTTTAATTCGACAAATAATTATTTGCACACTTATTATGATGGTTGTTGGATTATAGTTTGAACAATTATTACAATTGCTATGGCCAATGTATGGCATAAAACATATTCTCTTGTACTAGTAACAGCTGGCGCATCGACGAGAGTGAAGCACACATGGGAGGGGGTTAGAAGGAAAGTGAAAGAAACAGAAAAAAAGGAAGAGAGAAAAAGAAAGGGAAAGAAAGGAAGGGATGAAGAGGGAGAAAAATTCAACTTTCAACCAACAAAAAAATGCGAGTGCCTCTTGCACGACGAAGCATTCATAAATGAATGTCATATGATGAACCAACAGCGATGCACAATCAAATGCTTTGACTAAAACTCATGCTATTTCTTTAACTAAGCGCATGCCAATGGTGTAAGTATACGATACATCTTAGCCTATTTCATTTTGTGCACTAAATCGAAGCTCCCGATTCATCTAACTGAGAATCACATCAGTTTGAGATTTTGTAAAAGATACCATATGCATGGCATGGCATGCAAATTTTTGCATTTATATTGAAAATGTATTCGTAGAAAACATTCCATTGAGACTAAAAAATGTTGGCTTTAATAAAAAATCTCAAGCATATATGTCAAATTGGCATTGCCAATATACTAGTAAAAAATTATACTCAATCTGAAAATGCTGTAACGTCTTTGCATCGAACAAAATGTCATTCGTTTCATCAGATATTGTTGCTCATCAGATCAGGAAGAAAAACGAGTTCAAATCATTTGCGCATCGGCACAATGTGATTCCATGCTACACGAAATGGAAAAAAATTTCTATTCATCATTCACATTTCATTTTTGATTCAAGTGAAAATGTGCATATTTACCGCACCGACCCCTCCACTCTAACCAGTCGCAATTCCGTTCAAATAGTTTGAAATATGTGCGAAAGAAAGCACCGGAAAACAGTGTAGTTATTTCATTCGATGGTTAGTATGCATTTTGTATGCTATGAAGTGCGCCTACAGCACCCTCCCAAAAAACAACATGCTTATTGGCAAACTGGTGGAAATGCCTTACAAACTATAAAGCCATTTCGAAGCAACAGAGCGAGCGAGCGAGCGAGAGAGAGAGAGAGAGAGAGAGAGAGAGAGAGAGAGAGAGAGAGCGTGCGAATTAAAATGAAGTCGCGTATATTTCAACTGTAAAATTCATGAGACAATTTGTGAACAAGTGAAGTATCCATATACAACACGATGTAGCTGTGTAAGTACACCGTCAAAAACATAATGTGATTAATCGTGAAACACATTTTCGCATTGTACCGCTGAAACTCTGATTAAACTGTACACTGTGCAAGACGGAGTGAGTGTGTGTGCGGAAGTATAGCTGCAAAGTTAATAATAATATATTATTAACATCTTCGATGTTAATAACGCCCTGTTTCGCGTACCAACAAAAATCGGAAGATTATAAAACAATTCTGCAGAAAACATGTTTATTTATTTTTTTCGAAAAAAAAAAAACATTTGTTGGTCGCCTGGATTTTTTCTTTTCGATTGAGTGCGCGAAACAGGGCGTTATTAACATCGAAGATGTTTATAAAATATTATTAACATAGCCCATTTTGTGCAACTATATGTGGAAGACGTATAAAGGCATCATCGGTATGCGTTGATTGAATCATTAAATAGTTATGATTCATTCAATAATTTATTTATATAATATAATTCTCTTTATCTCTCTTTCTCCCTCTCTCTACACACTCATCGTCTTAGTCATCGGTTCCTCTCTCCTTTTCGTCATTGCGACTGAAACCGACAAATCAAAAATCTTATATTTGCGCTCTGACTCATTCTTACTCTTGCTTTTCATTGTTGAGCTGTTGCTCTGCTGCTACTTCTGTTTTCAGCTCTTTTGACATTCGCATTTTATAATAAAGAAAATGTTCCGTATGAAAGAGCCAGAGTCAAGGCGATATACATATGATAAAGAGTATATGCGAAATGGAATTCAATAGATAGGCGCAATGGGATTGTTTATTATGAGCTCATAACCATTTAAATATTATGTGGCTTCCGTATTTTGGCGTACGATCCATACTCCAACTCACTCACTCGCACGTACACTGTTATGAAATACATTGACATTCATTTGAACAATGACGAAGTGCGAAGACACATCACAACTGAACACGATATTCACAATGGAGACATGTGACACATACACAAATCGGATGTGTATCCACATCCATTTTGCCAGCTTAACCCTCGAGTGCAAATAGAAACGCCAAAAGGCGGGAAATATTCGAATGCGTGTGAACTAGACGTCGGATCGAAATGGTTAAAACTACAATTTTTTTTCGTTATACTTGCTCTATCATATCTACGTTCATTCTTTTAGTCTAGCGAGTCTGTTCTTGAGTCTAGGCTAAACGGTTAATTATTTACAAACGTATTTCATGCATGAATTTGACCAAAAATCTAAATTTGATAAAACTAATTCGGAAAGTCAACTTTTCGGCCAATTTTTGACACTTGCAATTATTTGATTGTTCGAGTATTCGAATGTATTTACTGGTTTGACCATAGCGGATCCTCTATTTTGAATTTTTTTTTTCATTATGGGGCCCAAATTCAACCAAGAATCCGGAGTACTCCCGGAAGAAAATTAATGCACTAGAGGGTTAAGCACGATAGAAAGCAACTGAAAAATGTACGGTGTATGCTCATTCTAAAACGTACTTTGAAATAAATGGCTCCAGTTATGCAGCGCTGAATCGATTGTTGTCTTGTGTATGCACAATTGACAGTGAATAGGGATTTCCACTGAGAGCGGATGGGAAAAAAGCGGCACTTTCGTATAATTTGCATATCAAAGACACACGGACGAAGTTCAATCAAAATGCCAAAGCACTCAGATGCACCGAATCAATTTCAAATATGCTCTTTGCGCTGCTTGGAAAAAGTTAGACAGTTTTGTGGATTGTTTTTTTCTTCAAATCGAAATTCGGCGAAACAGGATTTGGCAAATTGCTTCGAAAAAATTATCTATCGAATTTGTTTATTTGAAAAATAGAGAATGAAAATGATTGGTGAACATTTTCTGGTATGAAATTGTTTTGAGAAAATGCGAAAATGTATTTTTTGTTTGGTTCACTTCAATTCTGTTGAATTTTACTTGAAAATTGCAAGTTGAAATCTTTCACAATTTTTTTTGGGTCAGTTGAAGGGAATCAAACGGGAGATGAGTTAAAGGGAATCAAACGCGAGATGAGTTAAAGATAATCGTCTCCCGTTTGATTCCTTTTAACTGAGTATTGAACCATCAGACTCACTGAAAATATTCTGGTTTCTGAGTCAAAAACACTTTTATTTGACGGAAAGTCACATTAAATCAGTTTTTTTCAGTGGAATCTGCAGATCTCTCCAATTGAAACACATTGATCTACTGCACGTGAATGTTACAAGCCAATCGACCGGCTGTTTGTTCTATCATTCTCTCATAAATTTTGTTCTTTTTGTTCGCGAAATAAAGAGAGCCGAATTAATATGTATGAATTCATGAGTGTTTCAAGTGACAGATCCACTAGAGAATGAAATATTTACCGTTTTTTTTTCGTTCTGCCTTTTGAATCGAAGCCAATTGAATTGCGTTGGTGATGAGAATGCTTGATGCGAATGCTGCCTTTTGAAAAAGTAAATGTTGCGTGAATCATTTATTTATTCGTTGTATTAACGAATTATTATTTATTGTTTGGATCCCATTGAATGGATCACGAAAAATGTATATTTGTCCGGCTTTCTGTGGGCTCAATGTTTACAGATGGCCGAAAAAAAGGTTACCAAATGAATTGAAACAGCAAAAAAAAATACGACAATTTGGGCGCAACAAATGCTATTCGACTTTATAGCGAATTCGCGTAATACGCTCAACGGCTATAGACTAAAGAATACAATTTGTTTGAATTTTTAATAATCGAAACGGTTGTTTTTCTTCTCCTTTTTTTTCCATGTCTGTGTGTTTTAATGCGCTGCTATCCGGGATATGGTTTACTGGGACGTTCCATCCACAGGACTATCATGTATTTTTCATGCACAATCCAACGCCAACGCGATGTCTTATATTCGATTTAGATACAACTCTACCTTTCCCAACATATTTCCATAAGTATGTGACCGAAACGTTTCGATCGGACTTGGCGCTACGACCCGAACACCATAGGTAAGTTGAAACGGATTTTGCTCCCATTTTTTTCTTCCTCCTTCTCTGTGTGTGTGTTCGTTTCGAGGTTCATTTCGTGTGTACTACACTGATAGGCCGTAGTCTATAGCCCAAAACAGAAAAAAAATGTTGCATGCAAAATGCGATCATCGAATATTCATTGATATGATATGGTGATGGACGCATTTAGAACGATGCAAACAACGGTTCCAGTTTAGAAAAGAGCACAGAGAATGAAGTTGAAGAAAAAAATGCGCATGAAAATTGATACGGTCTTTTTGGCTTTTGGTGATTTCTTTTCTCACATTTTTTCGTTTCGTTTTCCACTCTGCCTATTTTTCTCTCGGGTTGAATAGATTTTTTAGAGTAATACCGGCCGAACAATACTTAGCGGAATTTTCGTCAGATCGACGACATATGAGACGACCAGACGGCACCTGGATCAAACCGCCACCGCCATATCCACCGATCCAGTCAAGCGGTAAATGGAGACATTGATTCCGTTTTGTTTTTTCTTCTCACGCTCACTCAAAGAATGGATAAGAGTAACACCTTTGACAAGGGTCCTTTGTGACAACCAGCGATACCATGAACAAAACAGGCGAAAAAAGCACAACATTTCACTGACCAAAAAAAAAACTCACAAAGCAAAATCGACACCAAATTTATGAAGGACTCTCACTCCTCAAAATTGAATGCAAAAAAAGCGATGACACGTCATTGATGTGACATCAATCGCAGATAAAATCGCGAAAAAAATGTAGCGAGAAATTCTCGTCGAGAATCACATGCAGAAAAAAAAGCTTGAACAATTTGAAAATAATGACATGAAATGGAATTTCGATTATCTACAAATGCTGTAAATGTTTTTTTCTTGGGCAACCTCGCCTTTTTTTTTCGTTGGTAATTGAGAAGGCTTTCGATTTTGCGTCGGTGATTTTGGTTTTGATTCGTCAGTTGGACTGTCAAGGGTGTGCATTTCAATGTTTTTCTTCCTCTTTTGTCACGCAGTCAATCGTAATTTGTCTTTGGGTGTTTTTTTTCGGTTTTCCTTCATTTGTTTTTCTTTGTTTTTTTTTATTTTATTTTTTTATTTTTCCTTCTTTTTTCGAGCATGCATTCTTCCTTTCCTACGTTGATCGTATAATGCTTATTTTTCTTGTCATTTTATCTCTTTCCTCGCACCTTTTTTTTGGCGGACAACGCAACGCAACCAAACAACAACAACGAAACGGGCACATGATGAAATCACCAAACAGCAACGAACACCCACAATTTGGACGATTTCATATGTACGCAATCGGGCAAGGGGCCGGGCATCGTGTATAGTCTATCACAATTTGTTTATACATTTTTTAAATTACCAAATGCACAATTGAACAACACACAGAATTAAAAAGCAGCGGTGTGGCGAATGAGCGAGAGAGTTGAGTTATCGATACGTGTTAATTTCGTGTAACAGCAACAATAACAGCGTCCGCGTCAACGCCATAGCTGAATCAAGGGATAGAAGGAGATTGAACAGTGGAGCGCATTTTTAAAGATTCGCAAATTTTTAATATAAATTATATAAATAAATAAACATGTATCGCTTTTAAAAATAGTAAAAAAAAACACAAAAAGAAACATAAATTCATTAAAAAGAAGAAAAACAAACAATTGTCCAAAGCCACATGGATTGAAACAAACATACACAGAAACAGAAACACAATTTTCTTTTCTCTTGCTCACTTTTTCCATCAATTCCCAATCTTTCTATGCATTTTTGAAGTACACTTTAATTCCAATGTTCCAAAATAAACAAACAAAACACACTCAACACAAAACTAACAAATAAGATGTGTGTACAGCGATGCAATTTACTCAAACTAGAATAGAAATGAAATACGCGAGAAGAAAAAACGAGAAAAAAGAAAATGTCGAAAAAATAAATACAAAAACTCTGGTTTCAACTACACCCCGGGTCGAACACAATCAATTTGACGGCGCGCGCGCGCGCGTTCTCTCTCCATCTCAATGCGAACAACGATGCAATTTGCTATCGAATTTTGAACAAATGCATGCATTCAGCGTGCGCGTATCACCACACAATTTTGCCTCGTTTAAAATCCGACGTTCGAAACGATAAACACGCTGAAGAGAAAAGAGAGCGAAGCGATAAAGAATGAAACCCATTAGTTTAATTGAAGCCGTTAATCATACTTCTGTTAAATAGATGCTTTTAGCTGGCACCAGATTATTGTGGCTTTATCACTGGTCCAACCGCATATATCAGAGCATGTCATTCGTTTTTCAACATATTTTCAATACTGAATTGCACAATAGATATGGAAAGCGAGTGCTTCTGTTTTGGGCATTTTTCACTCGATAACAGACATTTCCATCACTCGTTTAGCTTCCTCTCGGAAAGTGTTCAAGTCGGACACCACATTTTTCGGTTCTTTGGAAAAAGTAATCGCAGAAACAAAAACAAAAAATTGTAAAAAAATAAATAACCGAAAAAGGGAATTTTAAACAAAAATATGGATCGATTCACAGATGCGAACCGAAAAACAAAATGTGTACGAATAAACGGAGTGTTCAATGGCACAAAATGACCGTGGTAGAAAAAGCACATCATTTATAATTTAAGGGCAGGTTTCTTTTATCTCCATAACCATTAAATTAACTTAGATTTTGTACGAGTGCAACGCATACACATGCACATGTTCACTCCACATATCTCGAGCATATACCGATTAACAGCAACGAGGGCTGCCATGATGATGATGGCACAGAAAACACTGAATTCCAAATGATCAAAGGGAAATATAAATTATCCGAAATTGTAAACAGATAACGATATGATGTGAATGGTGTTGGTAGTGGTGGTGGTGGTGGTGGTGGTGTTTGGCTTTGTGTGCACCGTACGCTTCCGTTATTCGCGCGTAGCCATATACATACAAACACACATAACGCACAGAGAGAGAGAGAGAGAGAGAGAGAGAGAGAGAGAGAGAACCAAGTGTACACATGTTAAGTACAATCATCTGACTTTTTATACACCATTTGATTCCAATCATGGAAATACTGCTCTATAGCCGATGTTTCTCATTTCGCACATTTAACGGGCTGCGGGCTGGAAAGGCAACATCAAATAAGCACAGCCTACAATATAGGCTCTGCATTTTTCGTCATTTTGACAATGTTATTTCTCACATTTTAACATGTTCCTTTGTTCCTCCTTAGAATGTGCTTTTACTGTCGAAGACGATTTTTTCCCTACAATTCATTGGGAAATTTTGACATTGAACATTTTCGACAACCTTTGAACCAAATTTCGAACCAAGTAAACATTGTTTCGAAACAAATCTAATAAAACTCAGAGTTCATGTAAATAACTTCGAATTTTCGACTTCAACATTCTCAATTCCAGCCACTCAAGTCAGAATCCTAAAAGGATTTCGCTTAAAAAATAGTTTTTTTTTTCTTCAGCAAAAATTATCTGTCGGATTTGAATCGTCGGAATTCGCGTTAGCATTTGGCCTCATTATTCTTTCTGTTCGATATTATTCTCATGCTCGAGACTCGTTTCTCTTTTTTTTACATGGAGCTAAAATGCCATATTTATGTACGCAAGGGCTAGTTCTTAAGCTGGTATGGAAAAGACCTTCACTTTTGCACAAAATACGTTGTGTTTCTATGTGTGCGATTGAATTGCCAGGCCAGAGCTTCAATGGCAACATTGGCTTTATCACGGCCTTGAACTGAATTTTCTGGTAAACTCGTACTAGACGCACATTGCACACAATTTAAATGCCACAAATTCACCATACCATGTTATCAAACGCAATTTTTGGGTTTAAAGTTTCGTGTATGTAAATTCAAGCGGATCATTTCGTCAATTAGTATGACATTCAAAATGATTTTTTTTATTTTGAAAATATGAAACAATTCATTTGTCATGTGCGATTCCCAAGTCCTGTAAAATAACGATCGAGTATGAAAAGCCGTTATACACGCAATTTCATCGAATCAAAATTACAAATAAATCATCAACTCCATATCATTAATCATTTGGAAGAAAGATGCGGAACCAGGCGTGTGCGTATGTGTTTGTGCGTGTTGATGGAAATTAATTTGACTTTAAATTAATAATGGCATAAGAGGTTTCATATCATTGTCATTTAAATGTATGCCAAAACACTCACATCTACTCAATCATCACGATTAAGTTGTTGCTTCAGCAGACAACCATCGCAGTTGGAACATTTTTCAAACGCATTTTCAACGTAATAATTATTCTAACAGTCTAACAATGACACGTACAAATTTGCTGCCGCATTCACATTACACACAAACAAAACCGATTCGGAAATGTGCACGATGTGTGAATATGGGAATGGTTTGATTCGAATCGTCATCATATTTCATAAGCTCTACAATTTTCTTCAGATTTCTAAATGCCATTCAACACTTTCAAATTCGAAGGTCGACTTAAAGATGCATTTTTTCGGGTGAAATATTTAAGGCATTACTTATATATTAAACCATTAGGAGAACCACACAATCTAAAATTTTGAGATTTGTTGAACATTCAGTTGAACGTCCAAGAAAAGGAACGTTCTTTGACAAACGAATGCCCTTTGTAGTGAAAGTCGTTTCAGAGTTCAGGAAATGTGTGAATTTGTAGATAGTTTAAGTCGAGTCAGTTGAGTCATTGCTCGAGAGAAGCGAGAAAGAAAAAAAAAACCCGAAAATGTTCATTATTTCTACAATGTAGGCTTCGTACATAGGCCACATTTTTTTCTTGATCAGAGTTCAAGATCTCACTACGTCCGCTTCGAAGAAATATATTTTGTATTCAATGAATAATGAATATTCACAAAGCCCATGATCGCATTTCGAATGGCGAATACAGAAGCTTTTTCTGAAGATGGCATCCCAGATGCGGCCAAGACTCAACACATCGCATAAGGTATGGAATATTTCACATTAAAATTGTATTTTTTTAAATTTTTTTCTCTCTAATTAAGGCGATAGAAAAGAATCAAATATTCTCTTTATCGCAACAGAACAGTTCGTTGTGCAATGGATTCAATTTGAATATTTAAAATGAATATTTTTTTCCGTTTTTTTTTTACAGAAAGCAAAAAAAATCACCATCAGCAAAAAATCATCGCCTAAATTCTGTTGGATGATTCAAAGTAAGATATAAACGATTCCATCATTGTGATAAAAAGAAATTCATTAATTTTGTTCATTTTCCGTTCAATTGCAGGTTACACGACTGAGCTCCAATGAAAAATGTGACTTGGCTAGTATAAATGCTTTTTTTCGTATGGAATTTCAAATGATTCCAACAAATTCAGACGAGGCAAAGATAAGTCCATTTGAATGCGGCAAAGAGAGGCCTTTCAAATACGGTCAAGAATACATGTAAAAAAATTTATGTCTGTCAGAATGTTACGAAGCTCATTGGTGTCATGTCATTATAAAACCAATTACAAACGGATTGTTCGCGTTTTTTTAATGCATAAAGAATGACTAGAAAATGATTGGCATGCCCCGGCCAGCCCGGTCCATTCCGTTGCAAATAACAGTCCAACCTCAGCGAATTGTAAAGAAACAGGCATTTAAACCGTCGTACACAAAAGAAAACTAGTTGATACACGAATAACGATGCTAGTTAACCAACGAGGGGAGATGGAGAGAGTGGGGTTTATTTCCGAAAATGATTGTGTATCGACACTATCCCTTATATTCCCTGTTCATTTTTACGAACTTTGTTAACAAATGTTTTTCCTGTTCTTTTTCCCCTCGATTCGATTTATCTATTGCATCAGTATATCTCATTCACTTCCTCCCAATAAAACTCTCACAGCATTGAATAAACTTGAACAAAACGCAACTAATTACTCTTTATACCAATCGAACCAATATCCGATGCTAATAAACTAATTGAACTAAAAAAAAATAAAAACTAAAACGATAACAATTTCTACGCACATTTTCTATACAAATATATGATATTATACAAAAAAGGAAAAGAAACGAGACAAAACAATACATGGGATACTTGCTACACAAAAAAAAAACACACACACACACATACACACTTACACTTATCTAATGCAGAGTTGAAACTAAAAAAAAAACAAAAGAACGAAATGCTCGAAAAGAGCAAAATGATGCTGAAAATAGCGAGTCAAAGAATGTCCCGAAGGTATTTTCCTATCGAGGTGTAAAAGTGTCTGAATGTGTGATTCATCATTCAATTGGACATCCACATGACTGAAGTGGAATCCATTTTGGGTTCTGCATAACATAGGTCTACCTATCCCAAATGTCACCACCATACAATTTTCAGTCAATGTTCTTTCTCTACACACTTCTTGCTTCATATAAAATCAATAATCAAATCAAGCGCGCGCGTTCATTCTGTTCAAGAGAAAAAAAAATAGAAAAAAATGAATGAATTCATTGCATTTTTGTTTTTGAAATGAATTCATTTACTAATAAATAATATATATATATTTTGACTCTAAACTTATTACCAGTTCCCCGTTGTTTGTTTTCTTTCGTCGAGCAAGAGTTTTATTCTTGCATATATGGATGTGCACAAGTCGCAATTCCATAACGAGAACATTTCGAAGTCATTACAACTGCTAATTTAAGACATATTTAAGGAATATGAAAGAAATGATGCAGAAATTGCATTATATAA